AAATCACCCCCCCCCCCCCAGGGGGGATGGCCATGCCGCAATCCCTTCTTCTCCATTCTCCTCTCTGAATCTTGGGCATGCACGCACGACCTGCATGAGTTTAAGCCACCTGGTCCAGGACTCGAACTGTGGTCGACATGGGAGTCCAGCGACGTAGCCATTACACCAGCTGTTGGTCCCCGTAACCACTTTTAAAAATGCATTTATGATAAGAAAAAAAATGCCATTTCTGACCAGAAATTTTATTAACTCTGACAGAAGTAAACAGATGGGATTGGATAGTCTAAGAAGCAAAACAGGAGAAGACCAAAATCAAAAAAACACTGAAGTTTGCAACAGAGTTAGGGGCAGTCATGGGGTTTGCACCAAGCAGAGAAAGAGCGTGCAACTCAGCCTTCTGATCCTTCCCTAAAGCAGCACATGTAAGAGCTAATGGCAGAGTAGCAAGCTGGTACCCAAGAGAGTCAATAACCTCAAGAAAGGAGCATAAGTCTGTAGCCTGCCCAAACAAGACACTGGCATCCACTCAGCATGAATCCCATTTTCTTCCACAGCCTCCCTAATACAGGCTCCTTTGTTGAGGACCTGCAGCCAAATGCCAAGATGAGCCCTGAATCAGGAAATGCCAGGCATTTGAGAGAAACTGGCACTGTGGAAGAGATATGGTAGGCCAGCGTGCTGTTGGAGGTGGACATATACTGATCTGCAATGCTGGAAGCCACATGGTTGACCATGTGTTTGAGCCCTGAGTTTATCTGAAACACTCTGGTCATACATGTACCCACAGTACCCAAGATCCTGATCCTGAGTAGCTAGAGGGCTGAGGAAAAGTGATTGTGGTACGACAAGACAATCAAAGGAACCTGTCTCTCCCCTGTGCTCCCCACCCCATCCATCCCTGTGCACTCTCACAAAAGAAAAAATAAATAACTTTAAAAAGGGGCATTTGTTTCAAGAAACAAAAACCAACAACCAAAGAACAAATGGAAACATTAAAATACATGCAATTGACAATCCATTCAGTTTGTCAGTTTAACAAATATTATGAGTTTGTGTTTGTACACAGCAGAAACAAAACTAAAATTATGAAAAAGAAAATTTCAGTATAGGTGAAATTATAAAAAAAATTAAGAAAAATTATAGTTACCTAAATTATCGGTGTGTAATATTAAAATAAAGTCACAGGTCTAAAATTCTAGATTATTTCAGCATTACATAGTTGGAGAGGTAGAAGTGGAAATATTATAAGGATAATGGATACTGATTAGCTTAGGCTTTGCTATAAAAAATATAAAAGTATGTTAAAACTTTAACAGGATATTAATATAGATAATATATGTGTATATACATTAAAGATATAGTATATAGTATATTCAGTACTTGAAATAGGTATAAATTTGTTGCTAGAAGACATTTTTATGGATGTCTCTATTGTTGTAGTGTTTTTAGATTTTTGCTGTAGGGAACATGCACTCACTGGAGAGAGACAGATGGAAAGTGAGAAAGCACTACATTGAGGGGATGAACATGCCTCGATCCCTTCTCCTCTGTTCTTCTCTTGGGATTCTGGGCACTCACACATGACCAGTGTGATCTTCAAGCTGCCGGGTCTGGGACTTAAACCTTGGTTGGCCATGTGGTAATCTAACACCTTAATCAGCATGCTACCTGCTGGCCCCAGGATGTCTTCTTTCTTGACTATCACATTCTCAGAATTTCTCATTGAATTCGTTTTAGTTTTCTTTGTAAATTAGTTCAGGTATACTTTTGAATTTGTGAAAAGGGAAGACAAAAATCCAAATCAGATATACTATGAAAGAAATTTAAGTGATGCAATGATATATTTTTGATCATAGCTTAATATATTCCCCCAGAATTCTCTTGTAGTCTTACTGAACCTATTAAATTCTGTTTAATTTTGTAGCTCCTGTTACTAGAAGGAAACAAGTGATGAGGTTGACATTTCATTTGTTCCGCGTGATATGAGCTCCCTATTAACTGGAATGTTTTTCCCATGTAATAATGAGTTGAAAATGGTTCATAAAATATTATGGTTTTGAAAATGTCAGCATGGTATTTTAATGATCTAGCTTTAATTATAATGACTTGTTTGGCATGAACCTTTCATAGTAAAGTCTTCAGAGACTATGTAAACAGTTTCATATCCTGATCATTTTTAAGAACCTAGAACTTGAACTAAAGAATGTCTCCAGTCTTTCTAGCTTTAAATTATGAATATGTAATAGCTATTTCACATTGAAGGGTGTTCAGAGTAACTTGAGCTAAGGAATGTCTCCAGTCTTTCTAGCTTTAGTTTATGAATACGGAATTGCTATTTCACATTGAAAAATTTTCAGTCTAATGTGTTCTTCTGTGGATAATATATGAATATTGTATTGAACTTAGTACTAATGTATACATTATACTTTAGTACAATATGAATTTGATGCTAAAAATTACCATGTGATAAATAAATTACCATTTCATCTTTGTCTCCTTGATGTGGCTTTGAAGGGAAAGGGAGAAAATGAGAGAAAGGTAAATTCCTTCTCTGAAAAAAAAAATCCCTAAATTTTTTTTGTAAGAGAGAGTTTTGCTATAGTGCATATGTGCTTGCCAGAGAGACAGACAGAAAGCAAAAAATCACCTCCCCAGAAGTGATGGCCACACCGCAATCCCTTCTCTTCCATTCTCCTCTTGGGATTTTAGACATACACACACATGCGCCTGGTGTGAGTTGTAAGCCACTGGGTCTGAGACTTAAACCACAGTTGATCATGTGGGAGTCTAGTGACATAACCATTACACCATCCGTGGTCCCAAAAAATCCTTAAAATTTAAAAATTCTTTAATAGACATTTCCTGGAAGACTTGTAAGTGACCCATAAATGTATGAAAAAATGGTTTATCCTTACAACGAGTAAAAGAGAATTCAGACTTAGGTAATACCTTGTTGCTTTCAAATTGGGAAAGTTTTCATTAGTCTATTTATATTCTGGAATAATATGTAAATTTACAGACTAGATATGGCCAGAAACAATATTAGAAGGATTTATGTCAGCATATTTAATGTTTAACTCTGGATGCTAATTGTATAATATTTTAAACCATGATCTCTAATTTTTAACCTTGATAATTTATTAACTCTCTAAATAACATTTTTACAGAAATTATGAGCAAAGAAAGTAATTTTTTTTTTGAGAGGTTTTCGCTATAGGGCGTGTGCCCTCGCCAGACAGACAGAGAGAGACAGAAAGCGAGAAATCACCCCCCGGGGGGATGGTCACACCACAATCCCTTCTCCTCCATTCTCCTCTTGGGATCTTGGGCACGCACATACACGAGCCTGGTGTGAGTTTTAAGCCACCGGGTTCAGGACGCAAACTGCGGTCAACTACGTGGGAGTCCAGCGACATAGCCATTATGCTAACTGCTGGGTCCCAAGAAAGTAAATTTTAATGTAAGGTACTTACACGATTAATAACACATTTTTTAAAAAAGAATTATTTAACTTTATTTATTTATTTTTATTTGACCAGAAAGGGACTGGGGTGGGGGGGTGAGAAAGCAAGCCACCAGGTCCAAGACTTGATCCACTGTCGACCATGTGGGAGTCCAGTGCCCTTAATCACCATGCCACCTGCTGGCCCCAATAACACATTTTTAAGAGTTTGGTTTCATACCTTAAAGCTTGATCTTGAACTTCTTTAATGTGCTTTCATGAAATTTTAAAAACTACTGAGATCCTTCTCACTTCAACATCTGAATAATCTTCAAATATTCCAAGGCATCAAATCATTCTCAACTTATTTCCCCATATTACTGTGTAATTTTTAAGTTTTAATTAAAGTCTCATATATTATAAAACTATCAAAATTGATCAGAAAATGAATACAGAATTTTACTCATTGGTTGCTAGACTTAATCTTGGAGTGAGAGAGGTTAGGATAAACAGGAACTGGCTCAGTGACAAAGTGGGGAAAGCACATAACGTGTGTGTGTGTGTGCGTGCGGGTGTCTGTGTCTATAATGGAACGTACATGCCAGTTCTCCAGTTCATGCGTCACCTTGTGGGTAAGTAAACAAATGCCATCCTTATTGCCTATGAGATTTTCTTTTTTTAAGCATCCTATTCTCCACCGACCACTTAGTAATACGTGGACATCGTGGTTTACATTTCATGTCACTCCATACATCAGTAGTCTAGCCACTCTGTTTATTGGTTCAGAAAGTGTAAAACAAATATTTTCTCAAGGTACACTTGATGGAATATTGAGAATATAGTTCAAGCTGTACTTTCAACAAAATAAGAATCATGTAAGCAATATCCAAAGAAATGTTTGTTACCTGCTGTTTTGTATTAGCTGTTTCTTATTCTCCTTACAAATGGACAGTGGAGAGTTTATGGATTTTCTCGCAGTGCTGTGTCCTAAGAAAGACCAGTCTCTGGGACTTAGACTGGAGTTCTAGATCTGGCTCCATCAAGGATTGTGTTACCTCAGTTTCTTCATCTGAAAACAAAAAGATAAGATATCTCTTAGGTCCTTCTTAACTGGAAAAGAAACAGTTAAATGTATGTAATTTATAACTTTAAGATTTATGGTGATAAAGCATCTGATAATTTTGTGTTTTTCCTTTCAGTTTATATCTGTTCAAACTAGGAATAGCACCCCAGATCCAAGATTTGTTGGGCAAAGTAGACTTCACAGGTACTACTTTTTATCATTTTTCATGACCTAATTACTGAAAAAAGGTGTCAGTACTTTCTTTTTCTCATTTTCATACCATTGATTACTTTTCTTCCTCTGTACTGACAAGAAGCGAAAGAACCTGTCTTGTTTGTACTTGACTAGTGTTCCTGCCCTCATGTTTTGAACTGAGAAACTTGGGCTGGGTTCTTCCTGGGGCTCAAGTTTAGGAACAACCCTACCTTCCAGATGAAGATGTTTTTGATATGAATATTCTAATTTCTCCCTCCATCTCTGTCTGTGGCTTTCTTTGATTTTGTTGTTGTTCTTTTTTAGAGGAGGAAATCAGTAATATGAGGAAAGAACTTGAGAAATATGGGATACAGATGCCATCTTTTAGCAAAATAGGTGGTATTCTGGCCAATGAACTGTCTGTGGATGAAGCTGCATGTAAGTCTCTCTAAAATCCAGATTTGCTGTTGACATGAGACAGACTTTGTCAATTTTGATTATACGAAATATAATATTTAGAAGATACCTTAAACAACCTGAAAGATTTTATTATTTGTGTTTCATATGGTTGATTTGACAATGACAGGACATAACCACATTTTAGCCTCTAGATTTCCACTTGTACAATGTAAACAAGGCAGTCCAAAAATATCTTCATTCTCCAAAATGTTTCTCTGTGTCTTTAGATTTTAACAGTAGAGTACATTGCTGAGAGTCTCTAGTGTTGTAAGCTAATTTGCAGGTATCTCTTGGAACCAGCATTTTGCTAAGATTATTCATGTCCCGTCGACCAGAGAGTAAGACTGACTTACCTTCAAACCCACATGGCTGACATAGTGCTTAGTTCATTTTAGCTGTTGAGTGCAAGTTGACTAAATAGAGATTACTTAACTGATACTTAGACCAGGACCAAAGACAGACATGTGGAGAAGTCATCAGGTACCCCAAGACAGATCCAAAATCCCTGTTTTTTGGCATAGTTAGAAGCCAAAGATGAAAGTAGAACCACCTGAGTTTATTCCGCGTTAGTGCAACTGTTGAGGCTGTCTTTTGCTGATCAAAATCTCTTTTCCTTTTTAGTACATGCTGCAGTTATAGCCATTAATGAAGCTATTGAAAAAGGAATAGCAGAGCAGACCATTGTAACACTCAGAAACCCAAATGCAGTTTTAACTTTGGTGGATGACGGTCTTGCACAGGAGTATCAGAAAGAACTCTGGGAAGCCAAAAAGAAAAAAGAGGAAAATGCTAGACTAAAGGTACTTCATAAGATTCCAAGTAATAAATGTAGTAACGAATGTGGTTATGAGTTACAAGTATGAAAATGGCTTGATGTTAAAAGTGATTGTGTCAAATCAGCTGGCTGTGACCTCTGTAGCCACAGGCAGTTGGTTTGGATGAAACGTAAAAGACCAGACCCTATATAAGGTGATTAGATACCCTTCAGTGGTGAATGTTACAGGTTGGAATGGTGAGAGGTCATGGCATAAACTTACTCCTTACTAAGAAAGTCTAGGAGTAGCAACTGAAGATCATGCCTTCCTGGGCAGCATCAGCAGACTTTATATTAGCCAAGTTACCTTTCTATTGGTGTTTATTGGTAGAAGTTAGCACTTCAATTTGGTGAGGTTTAGAGAGCATGTTACTGCCTTCCTATTTTCCAATACTTAACCCTTCACAATCGAGCATATCCCTCCTTGACAAGACAGCCTTCTCCAGCTCCCAACTCCATACATAACCACCTTCCAGTCAAGTCAGTTATTCAACACTTTGTCTTCACTGAGATCTCCTACTCCCTCACCAACTTTTCTCTCATCAATCAAGTGTTTACCATGTTGGTTTCAGCTCCATCACTAAAAGTAGCCACTTTCTCTATGGCCTTTTCTAAACTTTTGGCTCCCATGGGCATCAGGCCTGGTTGCCCCACTTGCCTGGAGATCCTGTCTTTCCTGCTCATGTGCATCTTCCTCGCTGTGGTTCTCCTATGTGTGGAATGTCTGTTCTTTCTCCTGCCTCTAAACATGGGAGTTCTGCAAGGTCTAACACCCTTTTCTGTTCTTCCTCCAGTGAGTTCATGTAAGGAATCAGCTGCCATCTTTATGTCAGCCCCTCCCACATCCCTCTCTGCTGTCCACCCAGACAGCTTTATCTCTGTGTCCCACAAGCCTCATACCCACACGTCAGAAGAGGGCTTATCTCCACCCTGCACGCTGCACGTATGTGCCCCTTGCTGAGTTCCCTGGTTTGCCCTGCGCTAGCAGGTTGTCTCAGAACTCTTCTTACATCCCCTGTGCCCTACCCATACCTATATTCTGCTGCTTTTTCTGGCCAGGTTTTATTCCGTTGCCCGCTCTATTTTAACCACTCTCACTTCTGTCTTGAACCTCCTGACCTTGTTGCAGGAATCTTGTAGCACCTTCTTCCTGGTTTCCCTGCTTCCTGCCATTCTCCAGGCCAACCCCTCTCAGAAGTGGAGGCTGCAAAATTAATCTTTTTTTAAATTTATTTAATTTTATTATTATTATTTTAAATTTTATCAGGGGGAGAGAGAGAAAGAAGGAAAAGTGAGAAAGAAAACTTCTAGGTCTAGGGCTTGAACTGTGGTCAGCCATGTGGGAGTCCAGCACCTTAACCACCAAGCCACCTGCTAGCCCCACAAAGGTCATCTTTAACTGTGGATTTGATGTCACTCCACCAGAAACCTTCCTTCATTCTCTGTTGACGATAGAATTAAAGACAGATTCTTAGTGGGATCTTCAAAGACCTCCACTGTACCCCAAAGACCTCCTCATCTCTTTGGCTAATCCTGGACACATACTCCATGCTGTAGCCCATAATGCCAAGCTTTCTTCCTGTGTGGCCACGTTCTGCTGTCTACATTCTATTCCTTCATCCTGACTTTTCAAAACACCCTTTCTTGGGGTGTTTATATTGAGTTGTTATCTCTTGAAAAGTGTTTCTGTTCAATTGAATGTGAACTTTAAAAGGCAATGTTTATAATACTTCTGCTATAGAATCTGTTCTGCTTTACTGTGCTTATTCATTATTCATAGTCTTGATTTTATTGAATTGAATCAAATGAAGTTGCCTATTATCAGCTGTTTTTAATCTACAAGAAGTGGTAATACCAAGGGGCCCAACCTAATGTTTTCCACATTAGAAAATTAGTCTTTTTTTAGGGGCCACTGGGTCAGTTGCACCTCTTCATAATCCATGCCATGCATATCTACCCTAGTGCCTTGCACAGAGCAGGCACGCCACAAATGCTTGTATCGAGTTCAGATGAAATTGGTGAATGGTTCTTATCACTGTTTGCATTTTTGCTTTTGAGTTTCAAGCTTTGGGGATATTTTATTTAACCTCAGGAATCAGTGAAGACTTTGTTTTGCAGAATAGCTGTATTTCAGAAGAAGAAAGAGATGCATATGAAGAACTGCTGACACAAGCAGAAATTCAAAGCAATATCGATAAAGTCAACAGTAAGTAACAGGTTTATGAAGGAAATGGATATTTCTATAATATAGGAACATTCCTTGCCAGAATCCCAGCAAAACTATTTAAGTTGTATACTTGTAAAACTGCCTTATGTAAAGAAAAAGTGTCCTAAACATCAGTGTTGCTCTTAATTATGGTTCAGTGCCCTACAGTTTCCCTTTGAGCTTTTTTGGGTCATCCTGCTCCCACTCCGTGCAGAGTATCTCAGAGTATCCTGAAGCTGGTTTGATTGTACTGATTTATCATGGGTACTGTGCATTTCATATTTTGAATCTTCCCCTGATTTGGCTAATATTAAAAGTTACTTAGTGAAAGATATGACTTAAAGATTGTAGTTTCTTACTTCTGATTGTGGTGCTCTGTTGGAACTGCAAAAGATATTATTGACTTTTCTGGTTTTTATTACTTCCCAGTCATTATTCTGCAGTTTGCAAGAATTGTTTTCTTATAGTTTGCATAGATTTACTGCAAATGGATGAGACTATTGACAGATCAGATGAAATCACCTGACAGCAAGTTGAGTTCTGTGTCCTTGACCTTCTATGGAGTTGCACAGTTCATTAATGTGACTGTAAAGAATGGAAAACATGGTCGACTAAGCTAAGCATATGCAAATTTAGATACATCAACCTTTCTATTAATCTTTTCCACCCTCTAGTAAGAATTATTTTTACTTGAGTATCAAAAGAGGCAGCAAGGAGCCCATCCTCTGTGGTGCAGCCAGTAGTGTGCCATAGTGGGGAGCTGGAAGCCACATGCTGACTGTGATTTGAGTCCCCTGCCCAGTCAGCCTATAACATGCTGTGAGCATATGCTTAGGATCTGGTGGGCTGGAGAACTAGAAGAAAGGGATTCCAGGTATGACCATGACCTGAAGAAAATTCTCTCTAATGCACACACTTGATCATAAATTTCTTCAAAAAGAGATGACAATAAGGAATTCTGCTTGATACTTACTTCCCATATATTAATTTAAAAACACCTATATGTAAGGGCCAGCAGTTGACATGGTGGTTAAAGTGCTGGACTCCCTCATGGCCTATGTGGTTTGAGTACCAAACCTGGTGGCCTGAAAATCACACTGGGCACATATGTGTGCATGCCCCCAATCCTGGGAGAATGGAGGAGAACAGATTGTGGCCTGGCCATCCTCCCTGGGGGCTGATTTCTCACTTTCCCTCTCACTCTCTCCAGTGAGCACACATACCCTATGGCAAAAACCTTAATATACATAAATGTATAGGTATGCGTGTGTATAATATATAATACATGATGTATGTACATATATGTGTGTGTATACGTATATAATATATAAAAGAACATTTAGCCCTGCTATTCACATGCTTGAACCCTCTACCAAATTTAAACTTGAAGTGTCCTCTAATCAAAGTAGTCTCAATAGAATTCTTAAAAAGATTTATTTAATTTTATCATCATCATCGTTATTATTTTTTAATGAGAGAGGGAGAGAGAGAGAACACATGAGAGAAAGCAAGCCAACAGGCCTGGGACTCAAACTGCAGTCAATCATGTGGGAGGACAGCACCCCAGCCACCATACCACCTGCTTGCCCCAAATTACAACAGTCTTAAACTTTACCCTCTGTTTTTAGCTTCCTAAATGAGTTTTGATTTTTTTATTTTATTTTAATTTGTCAGAGGGCATGTGCATTTGATGGAAAGAGAAACAGACAGAGAGGTAGAGGAAAAAATTATCACCTGTCCTCCACCCCCTGCAGTAGAGCAGGGTCATGCCACAGTTTCTTCTCCTTCATTTTTCTTCCCTGTTGGAATTTGGGGCACACATATACACATGCCCGGTGTGTTTCTCAAGCCTTGTGGACTTGTATTAGAACCACACAGTTGGCCACATTCCCACATGGGTTCACATGCTGTATTAATGGGGCTAAATGGTCTTTCACGCATTTTATACACACACACACACATGCATGCATGCATATATGCACACATATACATACATATATGTGTGTATATATGTATATATATTAAAGTTTGTGTGTGTGTGTGTGTGTGCATGTGTGTAATGTTTTTGCCATAGGGTGCGTGTGCTCACTGGAGAGAGACTGTGCCAGAGACAATGAGAGAGAAAGTGAGAAGTAAGCCCGCAGGAATGATGGCCATGCTGCAATCACTTCTCCTTCATTCTCCTGGGATTTGGGGCATGCACACACATGCGCCCAGTGTAATTTTCAAGCTACCAGGTTTGGGACTCAAACCACAGTTGGCCGTGTAGGAGTCCAGTTGCCTTAACCACTAGGCCATGGAACTGATCAAGTTTTGGACGTTTTCTATTGTTCTTAATACCTTCAAAGAAATATACACCAATAGGTGTTTCTCAGAGGTGTGCTCCTGTGTTGCTGAAGAGATATAGCCTACAGGGTTCAGACAGTAATCAAAGAAGCCCAGAGCAGGTTGATATAAAAGTCTAGGAGTCAACCACTGAGTGTGTTTGAGAATTTTTTTTAAGAGGTTTTTGCCTTAGGGTGCGTGAGCTCACCGAAGAGACAGACAGACAGACAGAGACAGAGACAGTGAGAAGGAAAGTGAGAAATCAGCCTCCAGAGGGGATGGCCATGCCACAACCCCTTCTCCATTCTCCTCCTGGGATCTTGGGTACACATGCACATACATCCAATTTTCAAGCCAAGCCACCAGGTCCAGGACTGAACCACAGTCGGCCATGTGGGAGTCTAGTAACGTAACCACTATGCCATCTGTTGGCCCTGCGTGTTTTTGAGAATTTACCTCATGCACAACACTGCTGAGAGCTCTTGGGTGACCGTTCCCCCCCCCAAAGCAACACCTTAACATTTTGGGGTGTAATTTCTTTTTATTTTATTCCTATTAAGTCTTGAACATAGTGTTAATGATACATGAAGTACAGCTTTAAATTTCTCTTTCTGCCATATTTGAAAGTTGGGCATTTTTTTTATGCTTGACAGAAATGAATTACAGGAAGAAATTAATATTACCAGTGACACATCTGAGGTCCATAAACTTAGGGAGGAAATGGTTTCATAGCCTCCTATCATTCTTTATTTTTTGAAATATTAATAACCACTCAAACAGTTTTCTTTTTCATGTTAAATGAAATGCCTTATATAAATGTTTTAATACTTTACTCAGTGCCAAAATTTCCTAACCATATCTTTAATGCCAAGTTGGCTGCACTTTTTATTTTCCATTTTTTAAGTAACAAAGCGTTGGAAGATTTGTACTAATGGCATAACCAGCTGGTACTGATGAAGGTGTTTGATGGCTTTTAATCTGTAAAACGTGATTATTCTGTTTTCTTTCTCTCTTTCCCACCTAAAAATTTGTAGTCTACTAGACACCAAAATAGTCTTTTAGTCAGTGACATGAAAGGCAGTTGTACTCTTTAAAATATGCAAATGCAGTGACTTTGACAAGCATTTCCCCTACCCAATAGGTTATGATGTGACAATGAAGGCGTCTACCTCACAGTAGCCTTAGTGCAAGGGATAGCTTTGGTGGTAATGTCAGTGGATCTCCTGTCAGAGACTTCAGGTTTGTGTGAGCTACACTGATTTAACTTTTGGGTGGACTCCCTTCATGGTGTGATGTGTTCTTTTAAAATTAGGGCTAGAAATTTGGTTAAATGCTAAGTGTCAAGGTATTAAGCTTATTTTGTGGAAGAAATAGTTTAGTGTAAGAGAATCCTTTAAGGATGAGATTTTCTGGTAAGCGTCTGCATCCAGTTGTACAAATCTATATAATAAAGTTTTCAAAGGTGAAGCGCAGCCCTGTGTAAGGTAATCCAAGATGGTTGATACCCAAGATTTGACCGAAAGGCCTCGGGTAACTTTAACAGAACAACAAACAGCACAAGCAGCCATGACTTAACATAGGGAATTTTTTCATCAATCGCATGAATTCTAAGGATGAAAAAGGAGTTCTTGTGCTTTCAGGATCCTTTAGCTTCGGTGTGAGTTGTTTTAGCAGGATGACCTGAGGGGTCCCATTAGTCGTAAGAGTTTCCTGCTATTGAATGATGTCTCTTAGTAGAAAGGTTGAAGCAAGGTCCTTGTAAATGCATTTAGAAAAGATAAATTGTCATCTTGTCAAGAAGCGTTAGAATAATCTTAGTCGCAGTCTGATCATGTATTAGGCAGAAAAGACAAACTCTTGAAAAGCCCTGAAAGTATATGAATGTGTGTAATTTCTGTTGCCCAGATGTCTTCTTTATAGCGTAAAACCCTGCAGGCCCTGTCTGGTTTGTTCTTGCCTAGTGACAGACATCATCATTCATTCTCCCCTTTGGTCAGCAATTCGGTTTCTATGCTCTGAAAACTCTCTGAACTACTATCTCAGGTACCTCAGTTTGATCAGTACAGTTCACCTGATCAAGGTGTTTGTAATCTGAACATTACAACTGGTAGAGAGCTCACAGAGCTTATGGGCAAGGTTGCTTCTGGTTTTCAAGTATCTCAGCATCTCCTTAGGGAGGCAGTACTAACCCACATGAAGCCTTAGAGAACAAACCTGCTGGAACTATATAGCCTAGCTTTAGTAGCTGAAGATTCACAAGATATGAAAGCCTCAAGGACTGAAGTAACATGAAGTCCTGAAAGGAAGGATTTTGTAGGGAAGTCATGCTGGGCAGATATGATCTCAGAACTAAGCTGTCAATGCTGAGGATTGGACTGAGTTGAATGACTGAGCTAACATTTCCAAGGCTTTTGCACATCCTCAACCTGCAGCTTTTCAGAGTTCATGAAGAGTGACTGTTTAGGTTCAAATCCTTGGAGAGAAAGGCTGGTCAGGTTAGGCAGTGGTGGGAAAGGTGGACATTCTGATGGAACAGGAACCCTTCTTCCCCCAGGGCTGGCTGCGGTGGACCACATCAATGCTGTCATTCGGGAAGGTGACCCCGAGGTTACACTGCTCGCACTGAAGAAACCAGAGGCACAGCTCCCTGCTGTGTATCCCTGGGCTGCTCCAATGTACCAGAATGAGCTTTTCAACCTCCAGAAGCAGAACATCATGGTAAGTCAGGACTCTCCAGTTATGGAGATGTCAAAACCAAGGCCAAGCACACAAATCATATAAGAACAGGTTATTCCTATACTCTGTGTGATTTTTGAAAAACTGTAGATAATATTTTGACTGCACCGAAACTTTCTTTTTACTATATAATTGTTTTGATAGAGAAAAATAACTTGTGAATATGCAGTCCTTGGGCTACCCAGCGATGTGATGGGTAAGGCTTCTGGATCTCACATAGCCTATTGTGTAGTTTGAGTCCTGGACTCAGCAGATTGAAAACACACCAAACACATGTGGGTGTATGTCCAAAATCCTGAGAGGAGAAACAGAGAAGGGATTACCGCACGGCCATCCCCACAGGGGTACACGGTCATTCACGCTCTCTTTGTGTCTCTTTCTCCAACGAACTTACACCCATATCACAAAATTATTTTGAAAAAGTATGGATATGCATTTCTAGAAATCTGCACCTGAGAACGTCACAATGTAAATGTATTTATTTTCTTTAATTTTTGTAAATCTGTGCACTGTAATATAATATTAAACAGTCATTTTCATATAAAGTTACAGTAGTTGTGTCTATATAGTTTTTATTCATTATAGAACATGGGTGAACACACATGTAAGAGAGGGAGAGGAGAGCATCCTTCACAGGGTCCAATCTTCCCAAGATTCCCTTTCTCCAGACTTCCAGATTTTGGGCTCTAGCACATATGCCCCACATATTTCAGGCTGACCAGGCCTGAGATTTGAACCACAGTTATCATATGGGATCCAGCTTCTCCTGAGCAGTGCATTACCACGGGACCATGGCACCTGCCGAGGTTATAGTAATTATGAGCATGTTTACTATCACTCCTGCAAGTTAAACCATAGAGCAGAATGAGAAGTACTGGAAGGAGAGCCAGGAATTTAACATGTGAGAGTCCGAGTATTTCAAAAAGGCAAAAATTCATTGTCCAATAAATGAAATCTTTACAAGTGTTTAACCCTTGTTAAGAAAACAGTAACTCACTATACATATCATATATCAGAATAATTTTCCAATATGAAAGGTTAAATGTTAAAAAGCAATTAAAAACTTTTAAAGTACTAGGAAAACGTATAGAATGATACTCATTGGATATTAAAAATCAACCTGGTGGCACAGTCAGTAGCGATCTGAACTGTGTGCAGGAAGCCACATGGCCCCCCCAGGTTTGGATTCACTGGTCAACTTGGAAACACATCACATGCATACACACATGCCCAAGATCCTGGCAAGCTGAAGCACGAGGGAGAGAGGGTCACGGAGAGACAAGACTCTGTCAAGGGTGTATGTCTCTTTCTCTCTCATGCATATGCTTTCTGTCCTGAATAAAATAAATTTGAGAAAAAAGAAAGGTTTTTTTTTTTTCAAGAGAGATTTTTGCAATAGGACGAAGTTGACTTCTTTAAGAAAAAAACAAAAAAAATCAAAACTATCACTCATCTACCAAAGGAGAGGGCAAGAACACATTCAGGCAATTCACAAAACAAAGCATATATAAATGACAAACACAAAGAAAGTTTGTTTTTTTAAAAAAAAAATGTCTTTTTTTTAATCAGAAATAAATGTAAATTAAAACAAAATATAATTTTTTAAAAGATTGGTGGAGATTAGAAAGCTTTTAGCCAGCATAGGTTTAAATACAGGGCAGCAGACATCTCGTGAATAGCTAACAGGAGCATGAACTGTAAACTGTACAACCTTCTGGAAGGTGATATTAGGAATGTGTGTTGGAGGCCTCTGATCCTGACAATTATATTCTAGAAAATGAGCCTAAAGGATATGAATCAAAAAGCATTAGCCACAGTGATATTTTATTACAAACAACAGCATTGTTTATAAATTGAGAAACAGAAAACAAGGCACATGTTCAACTAATAACAGATTGCTTGATTTATGGTACTATCAAGGGCTAGAAATACCATGTAACCAGTAAAAATGACCATGTAAAGAATAATGATCAGAAAAAATGTCCCTGTTAGTTAACTGGGAAATAGGAAATTAAAATATAAAACATTACTTTGTTTTTTGTAACAAGAAAATAAAGTCAAAGTTAAAATAAAAAAAAACCTCTGTAAATGTTATACATGAATTTTAAATAAGTAAAAGGGGCTAGATGATGGTACAGAGGTAAAACGTGACACTCAGGGAGGCCAGCCCACATGGGAAGGTTCCCAGTTCAATTCTCTGATTATGCCAGACATTTGTGTGCCCATGATCCAGGACTGCTGAGGCTGGCAGCAGGTCAAGGTGTAAAGACCCTGTTAACAGGTGTTGTCTGCCTGTCTGTATCTTTCTCTTTCTGTCTTTTTTTTTTTGAGAGATTTTTGCTATAGGGCACGTGCACTCTCCCACTCTTCAAAAGACAGAGATAGAGAGACAGAAAGCAAGAAATCACTCCTCAGGGGGGATGGCCACACTGCAATCCCTTCTCCTCCGTTCTCCTCTCGGGATCTTGGACACACACGCACATGTGCCCAGTGTGAGTTTAAGCCACCGGGTCTGGGACTCGAACCGCAGTCGACTACATGGGAGTCCAGCGATATGCCATTACACTAACTGTTGCTCCTTCTCTTTCTGTCTTTACTGTTCATGAAAGAAATCTGTAAATGAACCTTAAATAAATATAAATAAATAAATAAAATTATATATACTCTAAAGGATTCAGGTGGTAGGATTTGTTTTCTATTCTTACTCATGAAAACAAATCAGGGTTTTTGTTTTTTTTTTCTTTTCTTTTCTTCAGGTTTTTGTCATAGGACATGTACGCTGGCAAGAGAGAGAGAGAGAAAGAGAGGGGGGAAGGGAGGGAGGGAGGGAGGTAAATTAAGTAAGTGAGAAATCATCCCACAGGGGGACAGCCAAGCCACAGTCCCTTCTCTTCCATTCTTCTCTTGGGATTTCAGACACACACGCACCTGGTGTGATTCTCAAGCCACCGGGTGTGAGACTCGAACCCTATTCAGCCATGTGGGAGTTCAGCACCTTAACCACCACACCACCTGCTAGTCCCCTAATTAGGTTTTCTAAACAGAAATACAGTATTTGTAGTAAAAGAAAAACAGGGCATTTTCCTTAAATTGCTCTGAGAGTCTCTCATTAGTATTTTCTCCTACTTCTCTGATTTTGAAGCCCAGAGCTACTTACACTCAACTCAGCCATTCATCCCCAGCTGGTCACAGTCAGCCTGTGGTTGTCCAGCTCCAGTTTTTCTTGCTGGTGTTTTCCTTGTCCTTTTGCCATATTCTACTTTCAGGGATCGTTTACTGGAAGAGGAAAAGAGATGAATCAGAAGTGACTCCTTTTTGCTCTTTACTCGTAATTTTATATCTCTTTGTGTGTTAAATTTATAATTAATTTAAGACATTCGAATAAAATTTACTTACATGTTCCCTATGATAACCTGTTCTTCTCAGTTGCTTTAGAAGGAAAATTGTGCTTTGTTACTCTGAAATCAGTTTGCTACAAAATTTCTGTAGAGATCCGGAAAACTGTCTAATACCTTGAATGTGAGCATTATGTTATATTTACAGTCATGCACCACAAGTGACATTGCAGTTGGTGACAGACTGCATGTACAGAAGCGGTCCCTTAAGGAACATATGAACATCTAGGGTAGTGTAAATGCATCCTGTGGTGTTCACACAACAATGAAAATGCCTGTCAAAGCATTTCTCAGAACATAGTTCCTTTTAAAGTTGGGCCAAGATGGTATAAAATGTTTAAATGGAAGAAAACTTTGAAAAAAGCATTCTGAAATCTAAGATGTATTTTTTTATAATTTTATTGCCAGATAGTATGTGCATTTGCCAGAGAAAGAGAGAAAGGGAGGGAGAGGAAGAAAGCACCCCTTAATGGGACGTGGTCATGCCGCAGTCCTTTTGTATCCATTTCTCCTTCCTATCAGGATTTGAGACACATATGCACATATGCCCAGCATGTTTTTCTCTTTTCTTTCTTTTTTTTTTTTTTAATTTTTGCTACAGGGCACATGTGCATATAGAGAAAGTGGGTGGGAGTGGGAGGAGAAAGTCAGAAATCACCCCCCAGGATGGATGACCATGCCACAGTCCCTTCTCTTCCATTCTCCTCTCAGGAATTTGGGCATGCACACACACATGCCTAGCATAATCTCCATGCCACTGGGTCTGGTACTCAAACTGCACCGTCAGCCATGTGAGATCCAGCCACTGTAACTACCACACCTTAGGTTGACCCCAGTACAGTGTGCTTTTAAAGCCACTGGGGTCAGGATTTAAATTGAAGTTGGCCATTGGGATTTGGCTCCCAGTGTATATAGCAGGCTAGCCCTGAGATATATTTTTTAAGTTAGCCAAATCCAGATCTTAAATAATAAATATGAGCTCTTCTCAGTTAGTGACATGTTGCCTGATCTTTGGCTTAATTACACCTAATATGTAACATATATAATATATAATTAATATACGATATACAAATACATAGATTGAGCTTTTAAGCAACCAGTATAGTCAAAATGGAGATCAGCTCTGAGGCTGCACATATTTGTGGAATTATTTGTGGTTGTAATTACCCAGTTCCCAAAATGATCATCTAAGAGAAACTCAGGAGGCATTTACATGTTCTTCAATGTCGATGAAAAGCAGGTAACTAATGACCCCCTCTTTCCTCTGGGCTGTCAAAATCTTTGACTTTTTACTGTTCTTTGAAACATGCATTCTAAACCTCTATCCATTAGAAAAAAAAAGAAAGAGATGTTTACATTGAGGAGCTTATGTTGCTGTATGTTGCCAACAGAACTATCTGACCCACGAGGAGCTCTTGATTGCAGTGGAGATGTTGTCTGCTGTTGCTTTGCTAAACCAGGCCTTGGAAAGCAACGATCGTGTGTCTGTGCAGAATCAACTCAGAAGCCCCTCAATAGGCTTAAACAATCTGGACGAGGCATATGTAGAACGGTAAGAAACATTTTCCAAACCTTCTTTCAATGCAGAAATGTGTGGTTGGCAGACCTCACGATTTACAAATTGTTCCTTAGTGGAAAAATCCATATACCATGCTCATGTTTCTTTCTTTCTTTATGTTTGTTTATTATTTGAGAAAAAGAGAAACAGACACCCTTGACAGCACTTGTAATCCCCCTCATAAACATACAGTCTTCCAGCCAACCAGGATTGTGCAGGCCCAGCATGTTTCAAGTCAACCTGAGATCTGAACCATGGTCTTCCATGTGGCTCCAGCATTGCAGAGTACTGCCCTACCACCTGCCCCATTGCAGCTGGGCCATCATGTCTTGAAAGCTAGTCTACTCTATTTTAGGAGTCATCCTAATCAGGACTGTCTTACTGATATTATTTCTTTTGGGGGAATAAAAAGAATCTAAAAATGATCATTCTTGGCATTTAATGACTTTGTTATTGGCAAAGATTATTTGTTAGGCTAAATATAAAGGAACTGTTGAAAACACACGTCCCCTTGGGCTTCTTCTGGAGACAACAGAATATAGAAGAGTTGGAAGCAATTTTCATTATCATCCAGAGCAGTTCTGTGATTTCCTTGAAGAGAAAACAGAATCTAGAGTTACAGAACTGGGCAGTTAGGCCCCAAACCCCACTCTTGAAGTTGGCCGTTGGGATTTGGCTCCCAGTGTATATAGCAGGCTAGCCCTGAGATATATTTTTTAAGTTAGCCAAATCCAGATCTTAAATAATAAATATGAGCTCTTCTCAGTTAGTGACATGTTGCCTGATCTTTGGCTTAATTACACCTAATATGTAACATAAGGAATTCCCAAAGGAATCTTGGGACCACAGTGGGCCATGGTAGTGGGTAACAGCCTCAACTTACTGATAGTATCTTCTATTTTAGGTTTCTGAATTATGTTATTAGATAGTATAATTGATGGTGTTATAAAACTCTATAGCCATCGTGTGATGGTTAAGGCAGCTGGATCCCACATGGCTAACTGTATGGTTCAAGTCCACTTTGAAAAACACACCAGGCGCATGTGTGTTCATGCCCAAAATCCTAAAAAGAGAAATGGAGAAGAGGTTGCAGCATGACCACCTCTCATAGGGGTGGTTTCCACTTTCTATCTCTCTGTGTCTCTCTCTAGTGAACACATGTGCCCTCTAGCAAACAAAAATGAAATAAACACATAACAAAACTCTACAGTAAATCTAGAAGGAAAATTAAGGGACAAGACTAAGGGGCCAAGTCAGAGATTCAGTGAGACAGATGCCAGAGTTAAAATGAGTGAGTCCTCAATTCTCGTGACCACCAGGGGGAGATGTCTGCACAGAGATTGACAAAAGCTCTTTTCAGATACTGATTCTGGAATTGATCTAATAGGTAGACTGGGTGATTTTCTTGGATCATATACAAAAAAAATAAAAAAGAAGAAGAAAGAAAATGAAAGAGCTATCTTAGGTTTTAAACAAATGGTATTTGACCACATGTCTATGTAGAAAAATGGCCAAAAAGTACTGAAAAGATAGTGAATCTTTCTTGATTGCAATCCTCTTGGAGAAATTAATGTTCTTGTTCTACTTAAATCCAGCCATTTGGTTCATATAACTGCTCAGAGTCTATTTCCAAGGTAATTTCTACTTCTACTGTTTCTGTTAATGGTACTACCCTTGCCTCCAAGCTTAGAGAGCTCACGCTCAGCTTGAGTTTGGTCTACTAGGCACCCTTGTATTGGGAGGCCTGCTCAGTACTCTGGCTGTCAGAAGTGACCTGTGCACATTGTACCTCTGCAAAATGTTTCCATTTCCCCTCAGCCACCTTCATTTAGATTTCTCACCTTGGCTTCTATAATAACCTCTAAGTTGGTTATCCTGCCTCTTTTCTGTCCTAATTCATTAACTATTCTTACCTAACTAGGCTTTGATGTACTGTCCCAGTACTAGAGTAGAACACAGAGCTGGTCAGTCCCTTACAAAGCTTACAGGCTTGTGGGCACTAATGTGGCATCTTGTGCAAAAACTGTCAAGACTGTCCCACATATTGAGCATCCTAGGCCATTGCCTACTAAATGAAAGTACCCCCCCAATGCACATTAATTCACCCAATCACCCTTTTTTTTTGGAGAGGTTTTGGCTATAGAGTGTGTGCACTCACCACCAGAAAGACAGAGACAAAGAGACAGAAAATGAGGAATCACCTCCCCCGCCCCCTCCCCCGGGGGAGATGGCCATGCCACAATCCCTTCTCTGTTTTTCCCTTGGGATTTTAGGCACACACACACACACACACGCGCGCGCGCGCACATGCCTGGCGTGAGTTTAAGCCACTGGGTCTGGAACTTGAACTGTAGTCAACTACATGGGAGTCCAGTGACATAGCCCTTATGCCAACTGCTGGTCCCCCAATCACCCATTTTAATGTTCAAAAATGCTTTCTCTCCTTCCCTTCCCCCATTTATAAATACTTCTGAAGGAAGTCATCTACCTCCTTTGGAGAACCACATTTATTCCTGTGATTTTTAGCCAGGTTATTCAGATGCAGCCTCAGAGTTCTAGTGCTCCGTGTGAGAAACTCTTAATGTGTGTGTTTGTTTTGATGGTCTTCAAATTTCGATGTGAGCACATTCTGGATCACCTGATGACCCTGTATTGACATGAGCTCTCAGGGCCCTCACTTTGGTTCTTGTATTGACTATTGAATTGGGGCCCAAGAGATCTTCCATAGCCTGAACATTTCGTTTTCATTTTCAACTTCATAACCAGGATTCTCAGAAACCCAAGTGTGCAGATTATCCAGTCTGAGACATACTGCTCTATCCAGGCCACTCCTTCTGAGTGCAGGCTCTTCATAGCACCAGAGTGCTGAACAGGGCCACAAAACTGGGGCCAGCATGATTTTCAAGCCACCAGGTCTGGGACCTGAACCGAGGTTGTCCATGTAAAAGTCTAGTGCCTTAACCACCATGTTACCTCTGGTTCCTAGCTGAGCCCTTTTAAAATTCATGAGTAAAGCATAAAAATCTTACTCTGCATTTGCAGAACTGTTTTGTGTATTAAGTGTTTGGTTCATCACCTGTCACACTGTCCCAAGGAAGGGCTTCCATCAGTAAGGATTTCTTTTCACTTCTTCTTTTGACCACATTATATCCACTCTGCAGGGCTGTTTCTAGTTTCATGGCCTTCCCTGTCCTCTGCTTTTATACCCTTTTTGAATTTTTATCATCTGACCCTGAGATCTGAAAGCTCTTTGAAGTTAATGTCTTGTTTCTCCTAATATTTCTCTAGGACCTGCCATATGTTTTGCATGTAGTAAGTACTTGACAAATACTTGCTGAACTAGGTTGGATTATCTTCACAAAGCTTCCCAGGCCTATTAGACTAGTAGTCTTTTTTTTTTTTTTTTTTTTGGAGAGATTTTCACTGTAGGGCGCGTGCGCTCGCCAGACAGACAGAGACATAGAGACAGAAAGTGAGAAATCACCCCCCAGGGGGGATGGTCACGCGGCAATCCCTTCTCCTCCATTCTCCTCTCGGGATCTTGGTCATGCACGCACACGCGCCCGGCGTGAGTTTTTTTAAGCCACCGGGTCCGGGACACGAACCGTGGTCGACTACGTGGGAGTCCAGCGACATAGCCATTACGCTAACTGCTGGTTCCCATAGACTAGTAGTCTTTCATAAAATAGGCAAAGAGAGCTCTGAGAGAAGAAAGGAAAAATCTATTTGGTTGATTGTGGGGACTAATACATATTTGGAAAAGCCTGTGGCACTCTAAATCTTTTCCTTTGGCTAGTTTTGTTCATTTCTTTTTAATTTTTTTCTTTTAAATGTGCGTGTGTGTGTGTGTGTGTGTGTGTGTGTGTGTGTGAGGTTTTTGCTATAGGCCACATGCATTCGCCAGAAAGGCAGAAAGCGACAAAGAGACAGAAAGTGAGAAATCACCCCCCAGGGGAGATGGCCATGCCGAAATCCCTTCTCCATTCTCCCCTCAGGATCTTGGGCATGCACGCACATGCGCCCGGTGTGAGTTTAAGACACTGGGTCCGGGACTCAAACCACGGTCGACTTCATGGGAGTCCACTGACATTTCCATTACACCAACTGCTGGTCCCTCTTTTTAATTTTTTAAAAAGAATTATTTAGTAATTACTATTATTATCATTATTTTAAAATTTGCTCTAGGGCACTTGCGCTCACCCAAGAGAGAGAATGAGAAAGCAAGCTGCCAGGTCCAGGACTCAAACCTCAGTCGCCCATTTAGGAGTCCAGCGCCTTACCTACCATGCCACCTGCTAGCCCCAGTTTTGTTCATTTTTAAAGAAATGGTAGGGTTTATGTTTTTTCTGTATTCATCATTACACTTTCTTATTTTTATTCTTGCTGGAACATCATTTAGTCATTAAGTGGACGAAATGCCCATAAGGACTTTGCATTTTTAGAGCGGTCCCCATCCCTAAGACATGCTAAGCAGAACAGTTGCCATTTACCCTATGGTCAATATTGTGTATTATATATTACTAGTATAGCAGAATATTTTCTTAGGTTTATAACTGTTGTAAAGGTAAAAATCTCACAAGTAACATCCACTTTCAGGTCTGCATTTGGCGAGGTCTCATTCAACTACAAAGGGTGAATTAGCATGACCACTTCCTGTTCTAGATTCAATGTGATGTTGCATCTTTTAACCTCTCCTGTCAGCAAATCCCTAGAAGCCATTCAGAAGTCAAACTGCATAGTGAATCAATATATACATAGAGGATTATTTTTACCTTCCCAGGTACAAAGATACGAGAAACTGAACCATCAAGTGTCTTTGCTTTTGGCTGGACTAGTTCAAGTTAGCCTATGATTGTAACATTGGTTCTGTGATTTTTTTTTTTTTAGAGTTTATTTTAATTTCTTTCATAAGAGAGAAAGAGAAGCAGGCAGACAGAAGGATACCCTTAGTAAGGTCTCACCACTCCGTGATCCTCCCCCAGCCTCCCAGCTAGCCAGGATCATAGGCACACACATCTAGCATGCCCTAGATCAACCCAAGACTCAAACCCATTCCTTCCTCATGGCTCCACTCTTGCCTACTAGTGCCGTACCACCTGCACCACCATGGATAGGCCTGGTTCCATGATTTTACATGGGAAAATCGTTTATCGAGCAATGAAAGTGTCTTAATAGAGTATTAAGATGTATATGGTTTCCCCTGAAACTTCTCCATAAAAGAAAAAATAATTGGAGTGACTGACCATACTCTATGAGGTCTTCAAAAAGTTCATGGAAAATGCGTATGATTAAAAAAAAAACTTGCATGGATTTCAGAAATTTTTGCATCAAAATAAACTCATACTGTATTCCATTTTCTGTGAACTTGTTGACATGTCCTTATATATCCCAGAGGGTTGTGAACAAGGACAGCTGTCATAAATGAGGTGTTAGAGAGTCTAGCAGTAAGGAGATCCAAAAGAGATTTTTGACCAGCTGTTATGGGACCTTTGGAGAAATGAACAGATGACAAGGAATTTTAGAATATTCAAATTCAACTCCTGTACCCATCTCTTCAACTCAACATATAGTGAAGATCTGTATTATTAAGTAGAGTGTCCAGACCACCTGTACTTGCATTTTATTGATTCCTCAGCGGTCACAGTTGGCCTCGAGGCGGCCCATCTATATTAGGGTTACAGTAGGAAAGGTCTTTCACAGCTTAAATCTTGGAAGGAACAAAAAATAATTAAAAGGAACCTTGATGGTGAGAAGATCGAGAACCATGGTAACCTGAATTGTGTCATGTAACAATCATCTGGAGACTGAGCAGAATGAGACATGCAAAGGGGATGAAAATTAGTGAGCAACTGGCAAGAAAGTTATTTCACAGAGTTCAGAACTTCTAGTTCGTTTTGAATTAAGTACAGGATTGAACTTTGAGTAACTTTTATAAAACAGAATTTGTACATAAAAATACTTTTAAAAAATCCATTAGCACAGGTGAGTTAGATACATGTTGACAAAGCTGCAGTTTTATTTGCCTTTGGGATCTTTGTCTAATCTTGTACCATCTACCTGTAGCCAGGTGTCAAATTTAAGATATATTACATAAAAAAAAAGAATGAATGTCTGATTGGCATCATAATTGTTTTCTCTCCCACAGTTATGCAAATACACTACTTTCTGTGAAACTTGAAGCATTATCTCAAGGGCAAGATAACTTAAGCTGGAATGAAATTCAGAATTGTATTGATATGGTTAATGTTCAAATTCAAGAGGAAAATGATAGTAAGTATGCAGCACTCTCCTTCTCTAGCATGGCAGGAAAAGAAGGGGTCTGGACAACTTAATTTTCTAGCTCAGGGCTGCAGGTTTTTGCTCGTGGAATCCTATGAGAGCATACTTTTCTAATATGTATGCATTAATTTGTATATAAGTTGTATGCCTATACTATTATCCTTACATGTTATGAACATAAAGCATCTACAAAAAACATAAAAGGATAGAATAAAAATACATAAATAGAAGTTTTAATATTTTCTTGTCATCTACTGTACTTCAGAGATACCAATTCTATTTTGACCTTTCATTTGGACATTTTTTTCTGAAACATGATACTCTTTCCTGCTCTGGGAATGAAGAAACTGGAACACAGTCTGTCGCTTCATGATTATAAACTCATGGTAATTTGCTGTGTTTCCAGAAAATAAGAGAAGAATGAGGAACTGTGTAACTTCAGTGGTCAGCATATTCATTCCCTGCTTTTCTGTAACATGAGTTACCAAATCCAAGCTTCCATTTGTCTTCTCCATCATGCAACAGACCAATACCATGTACTTTGACTTCTGATCTTGTTAACGGAGAGTGGGTTAGGATGGCTAAAATGATTGCTTCCTTTCTATCCTTCAACTTTGACTTTTCATACTCACTCACTCTATCCCCATTAAGAGAGGAGGCCAATACTTCTCTCACAAGTTTCTGATTATGTTTCTAATGTATTTTGGTAAGGCCTTAGGTCTGGTTTTCTAATGCTATATCTAACTCTGTAATATTAAAATAACTATTGAGAAAATACATATTACTTTGCTAATTGCATTTTCTTTTTTTTCTTTTTTTTTTTTTTTGCCTTTGGAGAGGTTTTTCACTATAGGATGTGTGCGCTTGCCAGAAAGACAGAGAGACAGAGAGATAGAAAGCGAGAAATCACCCCCCAGGGGGGATGGCCACACTGCAATCCCTTCTCCTCCATTCTCCTCCTGGGATCTTGGGCACGCACGCACTCGCACCCGGCGTGAGTTTAAGCCGCCGGGTCCGAGACTTGAACCGCGGTCCACTACGTGGGAGTCCAACGACATAGCCATTATGCTAACTACTGGTCCCAGCTAATTACATTTTCATAATTTCCTTTTCTTTGCTATTTCCCAGAGTCCTATGGCAAAAATCAAGGCCCGGCTTGTTCTCTGTTTCTTGAACAGTTTCTTACTTTAAGCCTCTGCTATAAAACAGGATCCAGATGTGCTGCCCTGGCATAATGCCCTAGGGCTGTCCCACATTACACTGATTCCTGGACATTTTCTTATTTGCGTCCTTTTCAAGTTGTGTGCAAAGCTGGATTTCCTCTTTGGGGACCACACTGCTTCCTGTTGCCTCTCTGCGTTTTTGTCCAGTGAGACATTTGAAATCTCTGTGGTTGGATGGGCTTGTTTACAGCCCACTTAGCTCTTTTCTGATATGTTAGCTTGGGAGCTTGTAGTTCTTGCCAGATGTTAGTCAAGAGGGAAGCACGAATTTGTCCAGATGTTCAACATCACCAGTTCCCCGGTGGGGGCTGGGGAACACACTGTGTGTTTCCTGCTTAAGAGCTTGTCCCCAGCCCTCAGCCCTCCTCCCACCTTCCTCCTTGACTCCACCTCCGCACACTGAGTCTCCACAGCAGTGGCTTAAGCTCTATGGCTAATGCCACCCAAGCAGTAAGACTCTTATTTTGGGAGGTAAAACAAATAGTTCAGTTTCATCTTGGTTTTCTGACTTTTCCCAAAATTCTTTATGGCGGCACCCACAGTCCAGGTCTGCCTGCCTGGCCGATTTCTGCATGGGTTGTTTAAACAAGTGAAAGTATATTAGTTCTCAAGGCTGAACGTTTGCAGCCTTAACACTGATTGGAAGGCGAAAGTGCCATTTTTGTCCCAGACTATCACAGAGAGCCTTTGCTTAGCCTGAAAAAGAGAAACAAGTAATGTTTGTGTAACTTGAAAAGAGAATAGTCCTTTGTAGGTAGATAGTATTTTTAAGCAGAAAGTGCTTAACTGCTGTGGCTTTTACCCATCAAGGTAATGGCACTGCTAAGTTATTCACGGGACATTTCAGATGGCCATCATCTCATTTGTTGTCATGAAGGGTATATATCCCATAACCTGAGAAGTTATTTCAGAGATTGACATTCTCTTCCTAGAATTTGGGAAATTTAGTGCAGTATTTATCTGTATTTTGGCTTGTGATTTTTGTCAAAATGACGTATTTTTGTTGAAGCTCCTTAAGTATTAAGTTTGATACATAGTTCAGATTATTACTTTAGAAATTAAATTAAAAAAAAACACATTGTGAACAGGCAAGAATTGCACAATATTAATAATTAAATCCACTGAAAGAGCTGAGAATTTTTCATGACATTTTGAAAGTGTATTACTCTTGCCTCCCCACCTGACTCCTGCTCCCGCATCTAATCCTATGTCTGAGTTGTGCTGTGGGTAAGGTATGCAGCTAATGGAAGATGTTAAAAGTGGGAGGTGCATTTAATGGAGAAGCTACTAAGTGCATTTCCTCAGGCATGAATACTCTGTTAACTTCTTACTGAAAAGTTTGAGTTTTTTAACTGCAGCTAATGGAAGATGTTAAAAGTGGGAGGTGCATTTAATGGAGAAGCTACTAAGTGCATTTCCTCAGACATGAATACTGTTAACTTCTTACTGAAAAGTTTGATTTTTTTAACAGAGCTGTGGAGGAGCATTATTTTAACCATGTAGCCTGAGCAAGGAAGCTTTCTTCACTTGAATTTCTGCTTTTTACATTTGACCTTTCTTTGTATAGGTTACCTCATCTTCCCTCTGAAACACAGGAACTCTTTGGGAATTCTCACAGTGAAATGTTATAGTTAATGTTAACAAAGTGGACCATGAGCTGAGGTTCAGCCATCTTTGTTCACATGGGATTTCCCCTTTACTTGTAAACAGAGGAAGTGATGCAGATGCCCAGTGGGCTTCTGGGAAGGTCTTTCAGCTCCTATGAGGTCATGTACTATGACCTCAGCAGGTTTTATTCTTAGAAACACATCAAACAAAAATTTAAGCAGGTGATTTCAATCAAGTCAGCTGGAATGCACGCATTGCCAGGTGATCGGCCATTAAGAACACCCGTTCTCTTTTTCAGACTTGGTTCTTCTGTTAACACCATTTTTGGATGGGGTGTTTAAAGGTATTTAGAACAGCCTACCTAAGGGCATGTCCAGAGAATGGCATGAAGTATCCCAGGCTCTCCGGTTTATAAATACTACAGGGAGAAATGACAGTACCTTGTCTGTAGATAGTAGGCAGACTTTACAGAGCTCTCCTAATGTCTTCAGATAACATATCTTGTATGTTAGGGAAATATTTTTGCTTTTTCCTCAAACATATTTAAATATTATACCATGGACTAATTTCTAGGAGTTGTAGATTATCACTATCCTCTCAAGAATGAAACTTTTGCTCTCAACAATGTGGAAGTATGGAGTCATCTTTTCAGGAAGTAGTTACCTTTTTTTTTTTTAACCTGAATTTGAATGTCAAGATGAAGATACTTCTAAAAGTTAGAAGTACTTACTCTATTTCACAGCATTTGTAAGGGCACTTGTGATCCTTTTTGATTAAAAAAAAATAATGACTGAAGAAATGAAAAATAATATTTTGGCTTTAATAACACTTATACTCTAAGTTTGTTGGTTGTTGAGGCTTCTTTACCAGTTCTAGTTGGTCAGCACTTACCCAGGAGTCAGAAGCTCTCAGCAGCATGTGTTTATGTGTGTACATATGTGCAGATACTCCCTTTCCATCCCCTCCCGTTTCCTGGCAACCACTAATCTACTTTGTTTCTATTGCTTTGCTATTTCTAAATACTTCATATAAATGGAATTCTATGAAATGTGGCCTTTTATATTTGACTTTTTAAACTCACTGTAATGTGTTTTCAAGATTCATTCATACTGTATCATGTGTCACTGCATTTTATATTTCATTCTAGGTCAAAGAATATTCTGTTCTATGGAAATGCATTTTGTTGGTTGAGAAAAATTTAGATTTTTTTTCTCTACATCTTAGCTGCCACAAATAATGCTGCTGTAAACATATTTGTGTGGATAATTATTTTCAGTTGAATATCTGATTAGGAGCAGAGTTCTTATATCATATTCCTGCATCACACAGAATTCCTGGACCAATTCTATGTTTAATATTTTAAGAAATTGCCAAGCTGAGGGCCAGCAGATGGCATGGTGGTTGGAGTGCTGGACTCCCACATGGCTGACTATGGTTCCAGACCTGATGGCTTTCTTTCTCACTTTTCCTCCCTCTCTTTCTGTCTCTCTCTTGTGAGCACATGTGCCAAATAGGAAATGTAAAAACTAATAGTAAATAATTCTTTGGAAAAAAAAAAAAGGAAGAAATTACCAACTGTTTTCTTAGATGACCACACTACTTTCCTTTCTACATCAATTTTTGAAAGTTCTAATTTCTCTACATTGTCATTGTCTTTTTTATTATAACCATTCTATTGGGTGCCAAGAGGTATCTCATTGTGATTTACATTTGAATGATCCTAATGACTAATGATGTTGGACACCTTGTCATTGTGCTTATTAACCATTTAAAAACAATTTTGTTTTTAATACCGGAGAGTGTTTGTGCGTACACAGAGAGAAAGAGATGCACAAGAAAGAGAAACAGAGAGAAAGAAATTACCCCCCCACACACACACACACACACACACAGACACACGCTGGATCTGGTCATGCTGCAACCTTTTTTCTTCTAATTCTCTATACCATCAGGATCCTGGGCATGTTTTTCATGCTGTTGGGACTGAGACTTGAACCCTGGCTGGCCATATGGGATCTGTCTATCTCTGCATAGCACTTAACTGCTGCAAAAGAGCTGTCCTTATTAGCCATTTTTATGTATATCTTCTTTAAAGATATGTCTGTTTAAATCTATTGCCTTTTTTTTTTTAGAGGTTTTTGCCTTAGATCATGTGCTGTCACAGAGAGAGACAGAGATAGTGAGAGGGAAAGTGAGAAATCACCCCCTGGGGTGGGGGCACATCACAATTCCTTCTCCTTCATTCTCCTCCTGGGATTTAGGCAAACACACCCATGCGCACACGCACCCAGCCAGCCATCCAGCGTGCGTTTCAACCCACCAGGTCCAGGATTCGAACCATGGTCAGCAGTAACTGCTATGCCATCTGCTTGCCCCAGGACTTTTTTTCTTTTTTTTTTTTTAATTGCCAGAGGGCATGTATTCCTACCAGGGAAAGACGAGAGAGAGCTAGAGAGAGAGATCAAGCATCCCCAAATTTATGTGGTCGTGGTGCAATCTCTCCATCCTCTCAGGGTATTGGACATGCCTCTACATGTGCCCAGTGAGTTTTTCAAGCCACTGGGATTGAGATTCACATCACTTCAGCCATGTGGGATCTGACGCCCTTAACCAGTAGGCTACAGGGCTAGCTCCCATTATGCCCATTTTAAATTTGTCCTTTTTGTATTGTTGGACTATAAGAGCTTTTTGTATTTGGTATGTAAGTCCTTTTTATCAGAAATGGAACTTACAAATACTTTTTCCCATTCTGTAGGTTGTCTTTTTTGCTTTCTGTCTCATTTATCTATTTTTTTCTTTTGTTATTTGTGCTTTTGGTATTTTAGTTAAAAAGTAACTGCCTAATCCAAAGTTACAAAAAATAACACTTATATTTTCTCCTGAAAGTTTATAGTTTACATTGAATTCTTTGATCCACTTTGAGTTACTTTTTGTGCATGGTGTTATTTCGAGACCTAAATCCATTCTTAATGAATGTGGATATCCAGTTGTCTCAGTACCACTTGTTGTAAAGATTATTTTGTTTCATTGAATTGTCTTGGCACCTTTTCAAAAGCAGACTGACCATAAATCTTAAGGGTTTATTTCTAAACTCTCAGTTCTGTTCCACTTATTTATATGTTTATCCTTACACCATGCAGTTTAATCATGTAGTTTTATAGTAAGCTTTGAAATTGGGTAAAACCCTCCAACTTTTTCTTTTTAAAAGATTTGTTCATTATTCTTGGTTCCTTGTATTCCCATATGAACTTTAGAATCAGCTTATCAATTTCCATTTTTAAAAAAACTGGGGTTTTGGAGACCAGCAATTAGTGTAATGGCTATGTCGTTGGACTCCCACGTAGTCGATCACAGTTCGCATGCTGGACCCGGTGGCTTAAAACTCACGCCGGGCGCATGTGCGTGTGTGCCCAAGATCCTGAGAGGAGAATGGGGGAGAAGGGATTGCGGCATGGCCTTTTCCCCTCAGGGGGGGGGGGTGATTTCTCACTTTCTGTCTCTCTGTCTCTCTCTGTCTGTCTGGCGAGCGCACGCGCCCTATAGCGAAAACCTCTCCAAAAAAAAACTGGGATTTTTGATAAATGTAGCATTGACTTTATAGATAAATTTGAGAACTATTTTCATCTTATAACATCAAATCTTATAATCTATGAATATGAGATACCTTTTCATTTATCTAGGTTGTCTTTAATTTTTTTCAAAAGTACTTCATAGTTTACATTATACATGTCTATGCATCTTTTGTTAAATTATTTCTAAATATTTAGTCCTTTTTTCTAATTGGAATCTATTTCTAATTGGCATCTAATATGAAGTGATTTTTTATCTTACTTTCATTTTCAGATTGCACATTATGAACATCTAGAATGTAATCAATTTTTATACTTTAATAATACATGCTGCAACTTTGCTATACTCACTTATTAGCTCTTTACAAATAACTTATAATGTACTAAGACTTAAAAGAAGAATGTTTTCTTCATTTTTTAGGAATTGTAGCAATAGGATACATCAATGAAGCTATTGATGAAGGGAATCCTTTGAAGACTTTGGATGCTTTGCTGTTACCTACAGCTAAGATTAGAGATGTGGACCCAGACTATGCTCAGCACTACCAGGATGTTTTACACTATGCTAAGTCACAGAAATTTAGGGTAAGTTTTCTTTTAAATATACAAGCTGCATAGGGGAAATGGAAGAGAGGGTGTTCGAGTAATGTTTTTTAAATATCATGGTCTTCTTGTCCTAGAGATAGCCCATGTATCAGAATTGAAGTTATAGGACTATTATTTATTTGGTGCCAAACATTAGAAGGAGACCAGCTCCAGAGATAATTATTACTTCTACTCTTGCCTTAAAAATTCAATTGTGGATGAATGCTTACTTAGAATCCAACTCACTGAATATTCATTGACTATGAACCTGTACACAGTGTAGTACATAGAATTTGACAGAGAAGAAAGGGGTACAGAGGCACATATGATATCACTGAATATTCTCTTCCTTGATCCTCAAGATGTTTAGAAAATTAGTGAGGCAATGGCCATTGTCATGTAGAACATTAAACAATAATAGAGGTAAGTATGTGTGAAGAATCCAATGAGGTACACAGAGTGATTCAGAGATGATTGGGATTGTCGTGGACCAGAATCCTAAGAGAAGCTGATGTGGAGATAGAATAGCAGCAGTAAGTAAGGAAGAGTTGGTTAGGAGGGTGGAGAGCAGCATGCTTCAGGCAGGTAATGCAGTGTTAGGTGGGCCCCAGAAAGGTTTGGTCTGGGCATAGGAGACTGGTCTGACCAAAGTTCTCTTGAAGAGTAGCAGCCTTTGGATGCAGAGCTTGCCCAGTACTCGAACCACCCAGTGGGTCATGTGGAATCCAGCTACCTCAATTACCATGCCCACCTGGCTGAGCTCTAACACAGCTTTTCTTTATCAGTCTTTGAAACTCTTTTCTTAGTCTGTTGTTTTTCCCCTAGAAAAATCAGATTCTGTTATTTTCCTATTCTTTTTTTTAACCTCTCCTAGTTGGATTCCTAGAAATTTCCAACTATGTTTTTATAGTAGATTTTTTGTGCCTTATCTTCCCAAGGTCTGGCCCTGGAAAATAGTAGAATAAATTATATTGCTGGTATTATCAGTAGAAAATAAGACTTGTGCCAAAGCATACAGCCATTAAAGATCATTATGGGTAATATCTTCATAAAATAGATGGTCAGTGTTTTTCAAAGATTAAGAACAGTGATATACGTTGGGGAGGAGTCTTGATCCTCTTATACATTAAGTATAATCTTGAGAACACACCAGATTCCTTTATCTCTTGGGAAGAGTGTAGGTAATGGGCATGTTGGCATATACTCAGCAGAATAGAACACATTTTCTGTCTGCTCACTGGGGGCAGTAAATTGTGAGCTATTTTAAAATTTAAGCGATTGCTTGAAAATGTTTAAATTATACTCCAACAATAAGTTCTGTTTTGCCCCTTCCATGTTAATTCCATAAAATCAAATGTGCCTTTAAAAGCAAATATTGCTATATTTTTCCATGGGTAAAACTGTATTGCAAATAATGACTTGGTTTTTAGAAGTCAGTTCCTTCATTGACATCTTTATCATATTGAAATTTATTTTAGATGTTTTGTTTTTGTTTTTGTTTTGGAGAGGTTTATGCTATGTGTGCTCACTAGAAAGACAGAGACAGAGAGACAGAAAGTGAGAAATCACCCTCCGGCAGGATGGCCAAGCCTCAATCCCTTCTCCATTCTCCTCTCGGGATCTTGGGCACACACACACACACGCGCCCGGCATGAGTTTAAGCCACCAGGTCCAGGACTCAGACTGCGGTCAGCTACATGGAAGTTCAGCGATATAGCCATTATGCTAACTGCTGGTCCCAGTGTTCATCTGATTTTTACTTTCGTACAAGATGTCTTCAGAAAACTCATAGACAATGCATACTATGAGAAAACTAACCATGATTTTCAAGATTTTTAACCAAAATAAACTTGTACTTCTATTGCACCTTTCCACTCACTTTTTGAAGTCCCCTCATATAACCACACACATACTATAAAAAGTCTTCATGCGAAAGGTTTTTTTTAACCAAATGTCAACAAAATAGAAACTCTACACATTAAAATACATGTGTTTAAAGTGTTTTTGTTTTCATGATCATTAAAATGTATTTAAAATGTTATTGTTCTTTTTTTCTTTTTTTTTTTTTTTGGAGAAGTTTTTGCCATAGGGTACGTGCGCTCGCCAGAAAGATAGAGAGACAGAAAGTGAGAAATCACCCCCAGGGGGGATGGCCACGCCGCAGTCCCTTCTCCTACATTCTCCTCTCAGTATCTTGGGCATGCATGCACATGTGCCCGGCGTGAGTTTAAGCCACCAGGTCCGGGACTTAAACCGCAGTCGAATAAATGGGAGTCCAGCAGCATAGCCATTATGCCAATTGCTGGTCCCAAATGTTTTTGTTCTTATGGTCATTATAAAGTATTTTTTTAATACACCCTCCTATAGACTCATAAATTTATCTCAGCAATCCTTCAAACATAATGGTTTCCTCAACCCCACTTGTATTCACTATCTACCCTCAAACACTAATATTCCACTTCTGTCTAATCCCTACGTTAAGGGAAAGATAGACATTTATGTGCTATATACCGGATATTTATAAGAAAATGCCATGTTCCAGTGAAAAAATATGTCAAGGAAAGAAAAAATAGTGGAGGCACTATTTTAAACCTCTAAATTACTTTGAGTATATTCTTAGGTTAACTTCCCTATTTTTTATATGCTCAACCAGAAATGACATTGTCCCATGTCATACAGTCTATGTCTTAATCTCTACCAGCAATGTTATTGTCCCAAGTTATGCAGAGTTATGTTCCCTTTTTGGTATGAATTTAATGAGTTATCATGCTATTTAGATGCTTTAGAAATTTTTAAATCCATTGATATAGCTACACAATGTGCAAAGCATGGAGCAGGACCCCACAGGACCTGGGGTTATTACACAAATTCAAAGAAGAGGTACATTATACATAGTGCTTACTTGTTAGTGGAATTAATATCCGTGCATAAGTGAATTACATATAGGTACTATAATAGCGTAAGAATGTGATTTGGGAGTTCAGATGAGAAAAGTAACATGTTTAGCTTGAGAATTGGGAAAGAATGGTTCTATGTGGACTTCAGGAGAAAGCCAGACGTAAAGCCAAGATGTTACAACTGGCTTTCCAGTGAGACGCAGTCAAGATCACGGCAAAGCAGTAGGTGTGGCCAGTGCTTACCTGGCAGGAAGGTTAACAGGAAGGCGGGTGAGGACATTATCCCTGAATGCCAGTTAAAGAGTTAGCATGTATTCCAGAAGCAGTGGAGAGTCACTGGAGGTTTTGGAATTGTGTATTCAAACTGATGCCTGAGGAAGATGAATCTGATGTGACCTGGGAAGTGGAGGATAAGCTGGAATAAAGAGCATAGAATGACTAGAAGGCAACGGTGGTATTAGGATAAAGGACCCCAGTGAGGAAGGCTCAGAGGTGCAGTCAGCTGATGAGGCAGCCACCAGCAAGAGTCCAAGAGGTATAAAAAATGATGCCAAATTTTAAGGACGGCAATACTACTCACTGAGGTAGAAAAGAGGGAGATTTTAAAGAGCTTAAAGTGCCAGTAAGGCAAACAGAAATGTGTCAGTTACCATAAAGACAGTGGTGATATTTTTTCCCCTGCATTGACATTCTTGAAAATAATGATTAAGATGAGGCTGGCAGGTGACATGGTGGTTAAGGCGCTGGACTCTCACATGTTTGGCCACGGTTTGAGTCCTGGACCTGGTGGCATGCTTTCACAGTTCGTGTCTATCTTTCTGTTTCTCTCTGATCAAATTAACTAAATAAAATAATGAGAATGAATAAAATTAAATAAAATAATTCTTAAAAAAATGATTAAGGTTTTTATTTTTTTTAAAGAGAGATTTTTGCTATAGGGCATGTTCACTAGCCAGAGAGACAAACAGAAAGCAAAAAATCATCCCCTAATGGTATAGCTATGCTGCAATCCCTTCTCTTCCATTCTCATCTCACAATCTTGAGTACTCATACACATTAGCTGCCAGACCTGGGACTCAAAACACGGTTGACTATATGGGAGTCCAGGGACGTAATCATTATGCCATCTACTGGTTTCTTAAATTATTTTTTGAAGGTTAAGTTTTGTTTTGTTTTGTTTTGTTTTGTTTGGGAGAGGTTTTTGCTATAGGGTGTGTGTGCTTGACAGAAAGACAGAGACACAGAGCCAGAAAGCGAGAAATAACCCCCCTTCGGGGGATGGCCACGCCGCAATCCCTCCTCCTCCATTCTCCTCTCAGGATCTTGGGCATGCACGCACACGCACCCAGGAATGAATTTAAGCCACCAGGTCCAGGGCTTGAACCATGGTCAACTACATGGGAGTCCAGTGACATAGCCATTATGCTAACTGCTGGTCCCAGATGGTTAAGTTTTTTTAAAAGAACAATAACAATTATCAGTGCTTTTGTAATTTTTTTTTTATGATAGAATATTTGTTTTGAGCTAAAAAAATTAAGCTAGAAGACAAGGTTTCTCCAACTACGAATGTGTTGTCCAAAAAGCAAATGTTTTCCTAGATAACTTTCCCTGTTTTCTGAGTCGATCTCACCATTGTAACGTACACAGTGGAGTGATCTATGATTCTTGACATGAGAAAATAAAAGAATGGATCTAGGCAGCTATTCAGGCTACCCAGGCATAGAGCTATTAGGTAGATAAAGTATAAGCCATCTGCGTTGTCATAGTAGTAGTTAGCATGGTGAATAATAAGTATGATATTGCTCGGAGCAAAGCAAATGGTAAAAATCACAAGGATAAAGAGACTGGCCTTAATATACCACAGCCATCTATGATCATATGCGTTAAGTGTCCGGATGATGGCTGTGTAGCAGTAGATAATGATCACAAATGGAATTAAGAATCCAAAGAATGCCAAGGATATGAAATAGTAGAGTTGGAAGGGAGATGAGGCCTCGCATGTGTTATGCACATCATGGCAGGTGGTGATGTCTGACTGGACAAGATAATACTCCTGCTTCAGGATGAAAAATGGCAACATGTATAAGAAAACCATTGCCCACACCAGTCCACACGTCAGCAAGGCATAGGTGCGCTTGGGCAGCCTCCGGTAAGTGAAGGGATGGACAATGGCCAGGTAGCGGTTGATACTGATGCAGGCGAGCAGCAGAATGGAGCAGTACATGTTGCCATAGAAGATGACCGTGGTGACCCGACACATGACCTCTCCAAATACCCAGTTGTTTCCGTGGAGATGGTAAGCTATCTTAAATGGTAGCGTGACACAGAAAAGAAAATCTGCAATGGCCAGGTTGGTGTAAAAAGTCGTCATACGGATGGAGCTAGTCCTGAAGAAGAGCATCCACAGGGTCACAGCATTGGCTGGCACGCCAACTACAAACACCAGGATGTAGATGGCAGGTATCAGTCGAGTACTTAAGGAGCTGCTCAGGTACCCCTTGGTAGCATTATTCACGTGGAGAGCTGAAACACTTTCTTTGGGGCACTGCGTTTTCACAGTTACAGTGGCTTCCGTCCAGCCATCTATTGCAGAAAGGGGAAACTCTTCAAAAGAATTTTGGGGGACGCCATGAAAGGTCTTAATAGGTAAGGTTGGTTTCGCCAAGTTGTCTGCGTCATTTTCCGCACCTGTAATTGAAAGGAAGTAATGGCATGATTGTCGCCCAGCCATAGCTATGATTTGGCACAATATGAAACATAATGTCTTAATGCTGCATAAATTCTGTGTGCATAGAACTTAGGGTCATTTTTCTTTAAAAATCATTATAGATGAGGCATCAACAAGCATGTATTTAGTACGTATCCTATTCTCTAGTACTGTACCATAGACCATGCAGAAACAGAACTATTACAATAGATAATAGTGATTTACATGCAAAGGTCTGAACAAAAAGAGCCCATCAGGACTAGCAGATAGCATGGTGGTTAAGGTTCTGGATCCCACATAGTTGATTCTGCAGTTCAAGTCCTGGACCTGGTAGCTTAAAAAACACACCAGGTACATATAGGTGTGTGCCCAAAATCCCAAGAGGAGAATAGAAGAGAGGGGATAGCAGCATGACTATTGCCCTGGGGAATGATTCCTCACTTTTCTGTCTCTGTCTTCTGTCTGTCTCTGGCAAGTGCACATACCCTATAGCAAAAACCTAAAACAAACCAAAAGTAAACACATCAGAACATTACAGGCAAATGTGATGTTGACTAAACTATATAGGTGTTCAGACAATGGTTAACAGATTTAGGTGTTGGGGCAAAATGTCAAGGAAAACATGAACTTGAACGAAGATAAATGAGGTTCATGAAGAAATGAATTTAACAGATGAATAAGATATTCTGCTGGTGACGAATGAGCAGTGGCATAGTGCTTGCTAGCATGAGATCTGGAAATGCCAGATAACTCGATTCAGCAAACATTCGCTGCATGCTTATGTGTCAGTGGCATAGTTTTATATAAACTCATCCCTATCTATGAATAATTCTCATAGGAGTGGAGAAAATGCACAAAAATGCAGTTTTATGCTAATAAAGTACATCCGAGAGATGAAATTTTAAAAATAGGTTACTGCCCAATTTCTGAAGAGCCTGTAAACTCAACTAAGAAATCATATGCTTGTTCGTAGTAGTTGGGGTTGCACAGTTAGTTTCAAACAAAGGAATGACCATATGGTAGAAAGATACACACACACACACACACACACACACACACACACACCCAAGTGTCCACCTGCTAGTCCCTGGAATTTATGAATATATTTACCTTACATGGTAAAAGGGACTTTGCATATTTAATTAGTTAAGCATCTTGAGTTGAGACCCGCTTGGATTGTCCTCATGGGCCAAATGCATAATATGTCATGTAAGAGGGAGGCAAGAGGGTCAAAGTCAGAGATGTGAAGATGGGAGGAAGTGAGCCACAGGCAAAGAATATAGGAAGCTTCTAGAAACTATAGAAAGCAGATTCTCCCTAGAGCCTCCAGAATCAACACAGCCCTGCTCACACCTTGGTTTTAAGATTTTGACCTCTAGAAACATAAGATAGTAAGTCTGTTGTTTTAGGCCACTTAGTTTGTGATGATTTGTTTACATAGAAAAATACGTCATAACTTTTCTAGTGACCCAACAATATAACCACGTTTGTTGTTGTTGTTGTTTTGGAGAGGTTTTTCACTATAGGGTGCGTGCGCTCGCCAGACAGAGAGAGACATAGAGACAGAAAGCGAGAAATCACCCCCCAGGGGGGATGGCCATGCCACAATCCCTTCTCCTCTATTCTCCTCTCGGGATCTTGGGCATGCACGCACACGTGCCTGGCATGAGTTTTAAGCCACTGGGTCTGGGACATGAACTGCGGTCGACTATGTGGGAGTCCAGCAACATAGCCAGTACACTAACTGCTGGTTCCCGATATAACCACAATTTTGACTTTTGTTTTAGATGACTTTGGTGACAGTGTAGATAGAGAAAAGGTTGAAATGTGAGAGATTAGAGGCCTGGGACCTTATTTGGAGCGGCAGTGGTTCAATTCAAATTGAGGGTGGTGAGTTAGAGAATTGAGCAATGGTCATAGAAAGGCAAAGATGAACACAGAAGACTGGGCTGGAGCTCAGGGGTCCTTCATGTCTGATTGGCTATGGGGCAGTGAGTGAGTAGAGGCGAAATGACTCAGAAGATTCTACTCTAGATGCCTTGGAGGAGGAAGATGCTGGTAACTGAGGTTTTTAACATAGGCAAAGAAGCTAAAATCTCAGTTTTTAGTTTTACTGAATTTGAGTTGCATGTGGAATTTTAGTGTACAAGATATCTGGTTAGAAAACTAGAAAAGCAGTCAAAGGAGCCGTAATTAGAGCAGTTGGGTATTTTCAGTCTCCTGGAGACTATAGTTTAATTTAGTAGGAATGGGTAACTTGGCCAAAGGAGAGACGTGAGACAACTCTAAAGGCAGACTTTAGTAGAAATGCCAGATTTGAAAAGGAGAAATAGGCAAAGGAAGAAAAATTGGAAGATGAAAATGCTATGCTAAGAAGCTAGAAATGAGCTCTTTAGAAAGAATAGAGAGAGGGACCAGCAGATGGAATAATGGTTACATCACTGAACTCTCATGTAGTTGACTACAGTTCGAGTCCCAGACCCAGTGGCTTAAAACTCACGTCAGGCACTTGTGCGTGCATGCCCAAGGCCCCGAGAGGAGAATGGAGGAGAAAGGATTGTGGTGTGGCCAGTTTCCCCAGCGGGGTGATTCTCACTTTCTGTTTCTCTGTCTCTCCAGCCTATAGCAAAAAGAGATCTCTCTTAAAAAAACAGAAAGAATAGAAACAGATCAACTATATATTGTAAGTAGTTAGCATGACTTGGCATGTTAATATTCTAAAGCTAGTCCTGCAGCCTAGAGGCCGGGGGAGCTAGATCTCACATGGCTGAACTGAATTCAAACCCTGGTCCCAGGTGGCTTGAGAAACATGCCTGACACATGTTTTCTGGGACATATGTGCCCAAATTTCTGACAGGATGGAGAAGGGTTTGTGGTGTGACTATATCCATCGAGGAGTGATTTCTCTTTTTCTGTCTCTCCATCTTTCTCTGGTGAGTGGGCATACCACTAGCAATTTTAAAAATATACTTATTAATCTAATTTCTGAAAGGTCAATTTCAAAAACAAAGTAAACCTTAATTCTCATCCCCTTAATTTCAAAAACAAAGTAAACCTTAATTCTCTTCCTGTTTATCATTATATAATTTGTCCATAAATTAATCTTTGATATGTATAGAAAACAGATTCTCAGAATCTAGCCTTACCCTTAACAGGGATTTTTATGCTAAATATAAACTTTATACTTATCAAATACTCTGCCAGTTACATCCTGTCTCATGACTTTAAATCCATGTCAAATGCTTGAAGTTAGTGTTTAGTAACCTTTTTCTCCTTCGGAGCCAGTTTCTCTTCCTGCTTTAATCTTTTAAGACCCTCCTTCCCCAGGTGAAACTGGAGCCTCCCTGGTAACTCTGAGAATGCACAAACTGAATCAGTGTGTAAAGTAGTGCAGGTGTGGCCTGAACAACTGGGTACAGGAACGGACGTCATTTAAGGATAAGTAGATGAAGGAAAAGGAAAGAAAAATCTAGAAGGTGTGTGTTTCTCTGCCTATGTTTAGATGTGATTTGTGAACATGCAACACGTAACTTCAGCCACACAAATCCTTCTGCTCACCTTACATTTTGGAAAACTCCTTACATCTGACATTACTCAGAAGTGCCTCTAAAGATGGGCACAGAGCTGGAAAATGGTGTCTGAGGAACACTGTGCAAGCTACTTTCCTTATGATCTGACAAGAGCTGTTGAAACCAAGTGCTTATTGCTTTTCAAAAAATTCCTGTGATTGAGCAAGACTTGGTGCCTACAAACATGCTGAACAGGGACTGTGTTTGTGGACTAATTGAATTCCATGAGATCCTCTACAAACATGCTGAACAGGGACTGTGTTTGTAGAATAGTTGAATTCCATGAGATCCCAGACATGTTTCCGCTTAAATAAGTCTTTTATTCCTCCAAGTCTGTTATTTATTTTTTTTAGAATAGTTCTCATCATTCAACTTTATCTATTTTTCATGAACTTGAACTCTTTATTCAGTCAACCCTCAGTATCCATAGGCCTCTCCTGGTCCCGAGTCCCTTACAGTTGACCCACGACAGATACGGAGCTGGGGGCCAACTGTCCAGGGTTCCATTTGGCATAATGTTTCTGAAAGGTTCTTCAGCCTGGAAGAAGGCCTTGGTGTGAGGGCTTGTCCCTAAAGAAGCAGACCCCAGCCACTAGATGATGGGGGTTTTCTTTGCATTTCTCCTTCCACCTCCATAGAAGAAAGCAAATTCACTTTCATTTGATCTCCATTAGAGTCCCCTCTTTTTTCACACAAATTCCCACTAGCACGTGGAAGAAAGCAGCTCCACAGACCTCATTTCCTTTGCAATTCTGCTGCTCAGGGATTGAGTTCATCCGCTCCCAGAAAGAGTACACACTTAAGCTATTCGTAAAGCCCACAGGTGCTGCTGTCATCCACCCAGGTGGTTGGATTTGGTAATTTGGGTGTTTTTGTTTTTTGTTTGTTTGGTTGGTTTTTTCTTTTTTCTGTCTTTTTCCCTCTCCTTCACCTCGGCCACTCCTCGCATTTGGAGTGGAATGTGACCTAACAGTAAAGAGTTGTGGATAGACCGAGCAAGCAGGTGGTTAGCAGCTAGCGTCGTGATGGACGAAATAGGAAACACATTCAAAGTTGAAAAATAATATTTGGAAAATCTTATTTTTAAAATTAAAATATCACATATGGGGATGGGGAGAATCCTCTGGTACCACTGAAAGGCAAATAAAAGTAGTTTATTTTGGAAATATTCATTTACTAGCAGCCCTGACAATTCGAAGTAGTCAGATGACATTCCCTTTTGTGTCTCACCAGGAGCTAGGAGGAGAGGACTTTAAGTCCTTTGAAAAAGTGCTATCGTCACCAAATCAAAGGAAATTCTTCTAAAACCAAAAAATTCTCATAAATGAAAGTGTCTCAGCTTAATTGTAGGTGTCTAAAATATTGACCATGCCACACATTGTTAAATACTAGCTGAGAACAACTTTCTCTCTGACAAGGTTTGAATAAGATGAACAAAATGTAGATGTTTCCTCTCATGATTCCATCTGATAACTGAGCTCAGACTCTACAGAGTTGGCAGTTTATGTGAGATGCAAGGAAAATTAGGTTCCATTGACTCTTAAACTTATAACATAAACCAGTACCCCCATCCTGCCCCATCAAAAAAAGAACTTACCGCTTTGACAAAAAGTAGGCAACAGAAGCAATAGTCCAGCAACAGCAAAGACAGGGGCTTTCATTTTGATGATTTGACTCTCGTCTGTCAAAAGCTCTCAAATGTGTAAAGTTATGGAGCAGTGTCACCCCAGTTCCATTTATTAGCCACAAGTGGAAGCCGTGTCCTGTCTGGAGGGTTCCCCTGCCCCGTGCAGGCAGGAAGGGTGTGACCCACTCAGTGTTTCAGCCTGCATGACTCAGGCCAGCCTCTGAGCATGCTACGGTTTCCCTAAGAAAGTCTTTTAACTCTTCCCTGCCCTGAACAATCCCATCTGAGCAGATGCTGAAATTCCCATACCCAGTTTATTATATGCACTTAAAGAATGGCAGAAAGCACACAGTACTTTACAGAACTAAGCTGAAAGTACATGCTGAGCAGCTGTCAGTTTTTAATATGTCCCATTCTGGGTTTTACATGTTTAAAAAATAGTTCTATAGTGTAATTTCAATTAAAAATAGAGCTATCAGAAAAGATCCTTTGTTTTATCATCTATCCTTTTAGCTATTTCAAATCTTAATTCATTCTTTCTCTTTTAGTTTTTGCTATAGGGCATGCATGCTTGCCAGAGAGAAAAGGAAAGAATCATACACACACACACACACACACCAGGGGAATGACCAAGCCTCAATCCCTTCTCCTCCAGTCTCCATTTGGATTTTGGGCATTCATGTACATGGGCCCAGCATGTTCTTCAAGCCACTGGGTCTAGGATCTAGTACCTTAACCTCTGTGCCACGGGCTGGTCCTCAAATCTTAATTCTCAAGCTCATTACATAATGGGAATCAAATCAACCATGGAAAGCAAACATTTTTTAAGAAATTAAGGTTGTTAGGGTGCTTGTTTACTTTGAAAATTTTTATCTAATGTCACACTGTTTTGAATTTGTCATTAGTGCCTGGCCAGAATGTGATTTATAGTTTTGGGTTTTTGTTTGTTTGTTTTTGGTGGTAGTAGGGGATTGATAGGGTTTGACATAGCTCAGTGTTTTCTGAGCTGCTCAGTAACTCCATAGGTCAGATAACTGAGGAACTCCTGCAAACAGTACTACATGATTAAACCAAAATCATAATGGAATGAACGTTGAAGGGCAGGGGCCTCTCTTTAATCCACGAATGTTGGTAAGCAGTCTACAATAAAATGTTTTTAATTAGAGTAAACTATACATAACAAAATTTATCATCTTAACCATTTTTAAGTTCAGTAGTATTAAGTTCATTCACATTGTTGTACAGGATATAATAAGCTTTTATGAGTAGCTATATCCCAACAGGCATTCAAGATACATTAAAGAAAGAAAACTGCATTCTAACAGATTGATATGTATATAAATTACTTTTTTTTATGCTGAGGTCACCTGTATGTGCATGTGAGAGAGAAAGCACCCACAATGGGATCTGGTCATGCCATTATCCTTTTTCCTCCAATTTTCCATTCCATTAGGATCCTGGTATACCTGGTGTGTTTCTTAAAGCCTCCAAGGTTAGGAATCAAATTGTAATCACCCACATGGAATCTTGTAACTTTCTCTGCATAGTACCTAATCACAGCACTACAGGGCTGGCCCATATTTTTCTATAAGTAGCAAGACTTAAGATTAAACTTAAAGCCAGATAACCCAACAGCCAGATGCCTATAGAATGCAGTAAGAATCAGAAAAATGAAAGTTTCACATAGACTTAAAGCTGAGGGATAAGAATTGACCTGTAGCAACTTTTCACAACCTGATTAAATTTCATCCAACCAAGATTTTTATAATCAGAGGTCTGCGTCTAATATTTCAAGTACATAATATATCATACTATAAACTGAAGTAAAATACTATTCTATTAAATAATAACAAAACTGCCCTTTTTTTGGCCAGAACCACCATCTTTCAGTAATTAACCAAAATGACCAACACAAAAGGAAAGAAGAGAGGTACCCGATACATGTCCTCGAGGCCTTTTAAAAAACATAGAGTTGTTCCTTTGGCAACATATATGCGAATCTATAAGAAAGGTGATATTGTGGACATTAAGGGAATGGGTACTGTTCAAAAAGGAATGCCCCACAAATGTTACCATGGCAAAACTGGGAGCCTCTACAGTGTTACCCAGCATGCTGTTGGCATTGTTATGAACAAACAAGTTAAGGGCAAGATTCTTGCCAAGAGAATTAATATTGAGCATATTAAGCATTCTAAGAGCAGAGATAGCTTCCTAAAACGGGTGAAGGAAAATGATCAGAGAAAGAAAGAAGCCAAAGAGAAAGGTACCTGGGTTCAACTAAAGCGCCAGCCTGCTCCACCCAGAGAACCACACTTTGTGAGAACCAATGGAAAGGAGCCTGAGCTTCTGGAACCTATTCCCTATGAATTCATGGCATGGTGGGTGTTAAACATAAACTAATTTGTGGTCTATACAATAAATAATAATAACAAAACCTGCAAAATACTGAAGAGGTTACTTTTTTTTTCATTAAAATTTTTCTAGGAGTCATATAAATTCAGGAACTTATGACTAATTTGAACATGGATTAATTTCTGTTCATTTCATCCATTTGTAACTCAAATGATGTTGAACCTGGCTGTTTGGCTGTGGTGGATGTGTGGCCTTGAACATACATAATTTAGTGAGTTTGACTTATAAGACTGATAATTTAGCTTCGAAGTGGGATTGTAATTGCCTTTTCATCTGGGTAAAATCTGCGTGATGCATTTTCTACAGAGATAAGTTATGCAGGAACATTAAAAAAAAACTTTTAAAAAATTTGAGACAAGCATAAACATTTATGGAGCCTAGTTTTTAGGCCAAACCTGGGGAGTGTTGGTGCTCATTGGGTCTGGAAATAGAGAAGTAGATAGTTCCTGCTTCGTTGTCTCTTCATTCCTCTTCTAGCCCTTGCCTTCCCACCTTGCTTCCTATTTAAACATTCCCCATCCATTTTCAGAAGACATGGGAAATCTTACTAAGCCTCTGGCTCCAATATGGCAGAGCTAGCTAGAAATGATGGCGGGGACAGGCATCAAACCTTCCCCAGAGGTCTGCATCAGTCCATATTTTGCAAGATAAAATAACAGATATTTCATCTCATTTCAGAGCCCTTTCCACATAAGCATTATCATAACACATTAGCTCTGAGGGAAGTAGGGTTAAACGTCTGCCAGAGGACTCTGTGAATGTTCTTTCTCCTTCCCGATCCCAGCCATCTTGAGTCTAAATGATGAAGTTGGTTTTCCGCGGCTCCATTCATCACAGTCTTGGTTTAGAATTTAGAACATTCCTAAACATGGGGGAATGTTCCCATCTTTTAAAGAGAGTGTCACATCTTCCCTGGAAATATAAATTTTTAGTGATAACAAAATTTAATGGCAATCTTGGATAAGTTTTTATAAAATGCAGTACTGTCAGGAAATCCCATGTTATACATTATATGCTAGCTCTGCATTTGTAGCACATCAACAGAATCAACCCAAGGGTAAGATATTAATAGTAAAAATAATTTAATATATGTTCACTATTTGTATCATATCCTTTCTGGGACTATCTTTAATTACTTAGTTTTATTTTTCTCTACAACTCAATACCACTGTTGT